AGCTACTTATACTCAGTATGAATGAAACATGATACGAAATGTAGTTGATTAAGACTGAAAATATCTAAAAACATTGAAACATTTTATAAGAACAATATTATATACACCACACATTCTGTGATGAAATATGCGAGTTAAACGCGACATCGTATATATTCCATCCTGAGTGTGCTGGGCGACAGAGTGGGGTACGCGCACGCGTGTGGGAAATACGTGTGCGCGAGGGCCGTTGCAAATATACAATAAGAGAACGTCCATTTTAGGAACAGCTACTCTACATCAAGCGGCCAACTCGATACTATGGTCTGTTTTTCGAAAGATGATGCCTGGGAGGTTGGCCTGCCTCGGCGCGTGGCCTGGAGGGGATCCAACGCGAGCTACGTATTTCGTACGACGTTGTGACGGTCTCAATGCCACTGTGTCTCTTTCCATCCTCCAGCACTTCGACACGAGAGCCTCTCGCTGAGACGCTCGGTAAACCAACTTCCTTCTTTACCCTGCTACTTCCACGTGTAGCGTTTAATAACCTACGTATTAATTTAATCCCCTTTTAATATGTTGCTGAATATTTGGGTACAATACATTCTTTCAAAAGAAATAAACTTTTTCTTGTTCATGTATTTTAACTTTTGACGTGTGAAAACGTTCAGCGTCTCGTCGACATTCTCCGCCATTTCCAGACAATGGATGATTGACGGGCGCGTGCCGAACGCAGTCCCCACTCCTTGAGATTATAGGTAGGACCTTCTCGAGAGGGTTGTAATACGCGTGATGGAGACAGACGACCGTAGGCGAGGACTCACGTCGACGGTTGCACATCATTGGCCAAGACGCGAAGAGTGAGAGAGACACAAGTGCCGTAGGTGTCTCGTGATCGCGGCAACACTGCGAAAACTCGGGCCTACCTCCCAGGCATCATCTTTCGAAAAACAGACCATAGCACCACTTAAGATTTTTTTATCATCAATTTGTCACTGTTATATACAGGCCATATAGGAGCGCCAGCGAGTTAGTATGTACGTGTTTCGCCCTAATGCGCCACGCGCAGTTGATATGACACATGCCTGAGGTGGATCAAGCTTTCTAGCCGTCGCGGGTGCTGAGATGCGCGGCGGGAGAAAGAGGACGTTGTCTCTGAAAATTGGCCGAAACCAGCAATTAATTCCCAAGCCTACTTTAGATCATCGCTTGATTTCGTAAAATCGCAAGGAAAAATAAAAGTGCGCGAATGACAGCGGCACGCGTCCAGTTCAGTAAGCAGTCACAGTTTTGTTATGATAGTTCAGGAGGACAGTCGGTCAGTTGTATCGGTCACTCGGGTATTCAGTTTCAGGTTTTCGCGATATATGTATTCTCGCGTCAGCTGCGACGCGAAATCTGATGCTACTCATGCTCGACACGTAGTTAAAGTTAGTGATTCAGTGACGTGACTTATAAAGCGCACTGATACAGTGGTAATGCGCCTCCTGCGAGTACCGCAACCTTGATTAGCGATCCTAGAGTAAGTCTTTCATCAACGCAGCAAGTTGGAAATACGGAACCAATCCAAACGCCTTGTTGTCATCATTGATGCCTCAAGTCTGTTATGTCACTTTTACTTGTATCTGTCTTGTTTTCAGTTGAAATATATACAATAGAACTGCCCGTATCCGAACAAATAAGGAGACATACAGTGCGTTAGAAAATGATATTGCCACCTACGTTTCCTTGTATAGCTGGAGAAAGTAATCACCGATTCACCCCAAATTTGTTGTGTATGTAGTCTAAGTAGTTGTTGATGATTCTAAAATGTTTCATTTAAAAATGTTCGCTCACTGAGGCACAGTAACCTCTTTCATGAATTTACCGGGTTTTCAACCGTTAGAAAATGATATAGCCAGTTAAAGGATAATTTATTTATTTTATTGAACAGTTATAATAAAGAGCACATGAAAATTTTGCAATATTTAATTGGTTTTCCGTTGCTTTTGATAAGCAGATTCATACGTTTTGGCATGGTATCTGCCATATTCATTAGCATCTCGGTGTTAATCTTGTTCCATGCTTGTACAATGGCCACCGTCAGCTGATCTGTCCTATAAAATTGACGACAATCGTCATATACATCTCGAACCAGTATACCCTACAAAGTCTCTATTAGATTGAGGTCCGTCGTCCTCGCTGACCAGATGAGAGTCGGCACATTTTTTGCCTTCACCCATTGGGTGGTGCTTTGAGACCCATGAAAGTAAGCATTATCATGCATGAATGTAAAATCGACCAACGGGAATCGCCTAATATACGGAGGGAGATGCTGCTGCAGCACTTGCTGGTACCTGCGCGAATCAATGCGAGATCAATGAAGGCGATGGACGACTTTCTGTACGCGGAAAAGGCCGCCCAAATCATAACCGACGCACCGCCAAAGTTCTGAGGTGATAGGGTCCGGGTACACTCAACAAGGCGGGAATCTGTCGTCGATACGTTTTTATTATGCGTCGGTCGAGTTAGACGCGTGGACGTACACTCTCGCGCTTCTTCGCCGCGGCGTCACCCCAGGGGCACGGGGACCCCCCGCCGTCAACCCCGCGTGCCCCCCGGGCCGCGTCGCACGCGCCATCGGCTACGTTCAGGGAAACGGCTCGAGCCGTTCCCTTCCGCGGAATTCGCCCTATTACGCAGCGCTCGCCACAGTTCCTTTTCGAAAAATAACATGGAGTGGTACGCAGATAGTACCAGTATTTGCCAAAGACATCAAGTTTTTCCAAACAAAACTTCTTGTTCGACCAGATGATCTGTAATTAGTTAAATAAGTTGTTGGCGAGTATGTACTCGTACATGAAGATTACCGAATGCCATTCACGAGTCCAAGTTTGATGTTCGTCAGCTAAATCAGTGCGAATCTGACGATGTTTTGCCTTCAGTAAGGGGGCCGAGACTATGCGCACATGAAGCAAATTCGGCGACTTCTTTAACACCTTCCACACGGTAAAATGAGATACGTTCGGTGCCAACTCGTTTCGAAAGCGGCGAGTGCCTTTCGTCGAATTGGATGTTGTTTTACAAATGGCGCGTTTTTGGCGTCTCTTAAGGGCTTGTGGACGGCCGGGAGATTGTCCCATATGCAACTGGATCAGCTAGGTAGCGACCGACTACGGTGTAATGATGCCACAAACGTCGGCCAATTTCGCGGTTGCTGAGACCACTGACGTGAAATGCGCAAATTTGACCCTTCTCGTCGTCCATGAGCCACGAACTTCTTCCCATTAGTCTAAAAATACTTCTGTGTTTGGACTTTTACGACTATTGAAAAAGGGATCAACGTAATGCTCGCTTTCGTCGTTCTTCGAACTGTTCTCGCGTTACTCCATACACGAAAACTGTGTTGGAACTCTTTCTTTTGTTTTAAGAACTTGTTCCTTTGTTAAAAGAAAAGGAAGAGTTCCAACGAAATATTCTGGAACCTTCAGCGGTGTTGTATTTCGGAGTCTTCTTTGGCTTTGCATTCCATAATCTTCGGAAACGCACCGTGTCTGCATCCTATATATATACGCGCTGTGATTTGTAGCCAACGCTACCGCGAGAACTCGGCTGGCAAACTCACGCTGTGATTGGTCAGGGTTTATCGTTAATATCTCGGTAACGAAGCCTCAGATTACATTGTTGCTGAGGAAAAAATTGTTCCAATTCACCCCCCGAGTGCCCCATTTCCGGGTCGGAGGACATTTTTGGGACACCCTGTATATCATTTTGCATTATACATCTGTTAATGAGGTAAAGAAACATATTCAAAGACTAGAACACGTTTCTGCCAGGTGGCTATATCACTTCCTAATGGTTGAAACCTCGGTAAATTCATGAAAGAGGTTACTGTGCCTTACTGAACGAACGTTTTTAAATTAATCGTTCTGGAATAATCAACAACTATTTAGACTACATACACAACAAATTTGGGGTGGAACCGTGATTTCTTTCTCAAGTTACGCCTCGAGCATTTCAGTTTGTGGTAAGGGCAAGAATTTTCTTACCTACTCATAAAAGATAGAATCGCTCTGTTGTTTGAACAGATGATTGCACCATCTTCATAAACTAAGTTTCAATGATATGTAGGTCTAATTTTAACCTCAAACAATGATGTTCAAAACAACCACAATGGCGCAAATACAGGATCCATCTATCCCATACGGTTCGGGATAGACGAACCACTTATACTCGATAGAGATGGACCGCGCGTGTATCTCAACCATACTGTCTTCGTGTAATCGACATTTTTAAAATTTTAGCCAAATAAAATTATAATCGATCACTTCAGCCTTTGCAACGAGATTTCTCGTCTAGCCAAGTTGCAAACGAAGATTTTTCGCCCGGTAAACTGCTGGACGTGATTTCACCAATACCTAGCCTTGAACTAGTTAGTAATACTAGCTCAGTAACTACAATAATATACATACATAACTATTTTTTGGTTAATGAAACAATTTTCTCGATGAAAATAATTGTTACAGATTAATTTCATGAAGGAATATAACATTTATAAAAGCAGTCCATCTCACCCGTTATAGTTAGGGAGAGATAGACCAGAGCCTAAAAATTTATTTTCTTTATTCTGCAACTATTTCTAAATATATTGTGTCCTACTAATTATATGTGGTAGAAAAGATCATCCATTATTTCCATAATATCCATTATTCCTAAAATATTCGATTTTCGGACATTTTAAAAAACGTGATCCATCTCTCTCGGATTTACCGTACTATTAGAGCGATTTCCTATCTTTTCCGCTCCTTGTATCCAAGACTAACAATAAATACGACACTAGTGAGTCTAAACAGGGTTTCGTTAACCGCTTTACCACATTAAACAGAAATCGTTTTAAAAATGTAAAAATAGAAACACAAAGTTTCAGAATCAAATTTTCCAGCAATAGGACATTTACGAGTGAGAAAATTAATTCTGGGCATAGTCTACAATCGATACTGATCAATGGCCATAGTTTGCTTTTGGTTTAAATAGCAATAAACACTCACCATCGCTACGCTGTGCGATGCCCCTCTTGTCGCCCTTGCCCATGTTCTTGTCTCCTTTTACTCTTTAAGGCGAGAAGCACTAACTTCCTCTGCTACCTATAATCACAAGAACAAGGAAATGAATCGAAGCATTGCAAACTTTTGGTCTTCTTAAAGATAAATATTAAATGATAGTTATTTAAAAAAGCACATATTTATAAATAAATAAATGAAAACTTTAAGATTAAACTTGTAATAACTTCTTTCGTTTTTTCATAATAACAATTAACAATTTGAATCAAAAAGATGATTGATAAGGAAGGTAGAGGGTTAGAGGTGATTATATTTAAACTTACAATCATTTTAAAGTATATTTTTTGGATGTGTACTGCATGATGGCTACAAAAGTGTCACCACGTCCTATTCTCTCATTTAGTTTTTGTAACATTCGCTTTCGAAATCTTTCGTATTACTCTACGATTACGTAATCATTCACTTTCTAAATCGTTCGTATTGTTTTACGATTTCCGAGCTATTCTTGTTGTATTGTTCGGTGTTTGGAAATAACAACACTCTTGGTTTACTGTTTACACTCCTCTTTATTGTTCTCACTTCGGGGTCCCGAATAATACTGCCCCCTTCCACCATCGGTACGCCTTTAACCCTTTGAGCGCTATGAACCCATATATGGGTTCTCACACAACCATTCGTTTTTGGCTATGAACCCATATATGAGTTCTCACACAACCATTCGTTTTTGGCTATGAACCCACATATGCGTTTTCGCATAACCATTCGTTTTTGGCTATGAACCCACATATGCGTTCTCGCGTAACCATTCAGTTTAGGTTATGAACCCACATATGCGTTCTCGCGTAACCATTCAGTTTAGGTTATGAACCCACATATGCGGTCTCACGAAACCATTGAATCTAGGAAAAGGGAATTGATAAACAGATATATGTGACTGGTGCCTGTGAGCCTTTATAGATATAACAAACGGCTTTTGTGCAATCGTTTATCAATATTGTTAATTAAATTCGTGTGTGCATTCATTGCGCATTATCTAACATATCGCTACCAAATACTTTTAAAGGTTATAAGTACTGCTACTTTCTAAAAATCTGTTCTTTTCGTTTTAAAATTTATTTTTAAATTACCCTTTAAATGTCTGAGAATGAGTTTGAACACATTAGTAACAGTGATAGTGACATGGCCTATGAACATGACATTGAAACAGTTGAAATTAAAACACTTGAAAGAAAAAGGATGCGGAATTCGTCTTCGGATTCCGTCGAGATCTATAAGAAGACAAAGAGATTACAAATAAACAGTGACACAAGCGGTGAGAATCAACACAATAGGTTGGATGTTAGAACAAACATAATCAAACCTTCTTTTGTAGCTTCGGAAACCGAAGAGAGAATTCCATTATATAAGCGAAGCAGAAGACGTCTTCGAATATTTAGCTCATCTTCTGAAGAGGACGAAGGTCTACAGGAAAATGTTAATTCGATATCTAATGATACGGCAGAAAACTATTCATGGTCTAAGAAAGATTTTGTACCAAAATTATATGATTTTGATGAATCAAATTCGGGGATAAAGGGACACTTATCGAAAATATCCACTCCTTTGAATGCGTTTAAAATATTTTTCTCAGAAGAATTAATTACTGGAATTTGCGAGAAAACAAATAATTTCCATAAAAATCTGGCGCAAACTAAAATTCATGCAGTTCATTCACGCGTAAATAACTGGACAGATACTTCACCTTCGGAAATATATTTATTTATTGCTGTTACTATGCTAATGTCCAGAATGAAAAAAACATCTATAAGAGAATATTGGTCTACTGATAAAGTTACAAAAACTGAAATTTTTTCAAAACTAATGAGCAGAGTTAGGTATGAATCATTGCTGAAAATGCTACATTTTAATGATGACAATAATATGAGCTCGAATGATCCGTTGATAAAAATAAGACCAGTGGTTACTGAACTTAGAAACTCATTTTCTAAATCATTTTATCCATATGAATATTTATGCATAGACGAAAGTCTTTTGCTTTATAAAGGAAGACTATTCTTTAAACAATATATTCCAACAAAGAGGAGTAGATTTGGCATTAAGTCATTCGTTATTTGCGATTGCAAAACAGGCTATATACTAGACTTCATAATTTATTCTGGAAAAAATAATGATGTCACTGAGGAAGTTCCATCAATTGGACAATCTGGAAACATTACTTTGACACTCCTGAAATCATACGTAGGAAAAGGGCATACACTTATCACTGATAATTGGTACACGAGTCCGCACTTATACAATCTATTACACGAAAAGGAAAAAACCAATGCCTTTGGAACTGTGCGAAAAAATAGGAAAAATATGCCAAAAATGGAAGAAAAATTAAAAGGCGGAGAATGTGCAAATAGATCGACACACAATCTATTAGCGTTAAAGTGCCGGGATAAAAAAGACGTATGGATGCTATCCACCTCACATACTGATGATTTCGTTGAAACAAAAAAAATTAATTATCAAACTGGCGAACCAAAGCGAAAACCAAAGTGTGTAGCAGACTACAATGCCTTGATGGGCGCAGTTGATAAAATCGATATGATTTTGAGTACACTTCACTGCGTTCGAAAAAGCACAAAGTGGTATAAAAAATATTTCTTCCACCTCTTAGATCTCGCTATATATAATGCGTATATTCTTTATAAAGATGCTAATGAAAAAATTGTAACATTTGAAAAATTTCATCTGCTTCTCATAAAAGATATTTTGAGAAAATACCCACCCGATAGAGTAGAGGCTAAAGGAGGAAGAAGTCATTCGGACGACCTTCCATTTAGGTTAACAGAGAGGCATTTCCTTACTTCCTGCGTAACTAATGAAAATAGAACACATTCTTCACGACGCAGATGCGTTATTTGCACTAAAAATAATCGCAGAACTGACTCGCGTTACGAATGCAAAAAATGTAACGTTGGCTTGTGCATTGAACCCTGCTTTGAGATTTACCACACAATACAAAATTATTAAATTTAAAAATTTAAAAGGTGCAATTTACTACTATTATATTGTTCATGTTATGAAATAAATGATTATTAAGGCTTTTGAGGTCACCACACAATTTATTTTATTTATTTTTTCGTACGGAGTGGGCAGTCCACGGCGCAAGCTTAACGCCGACAACGTCTGTTCAACGTGCGCTCTTTCGTAAAAAGTACGCAGTCCACGGTGAACTGTCTCGTACGGAGTGGGCAGTCCACGGTGAGATGCCTCGTGCGGAGTGGGCGGTCCATGGCGCACGCTTAACGTCTGGCAACTCAGCGCTCAAAGGGCAAGTATCGTCTCTGATAGTGGTAGGGGATATTATCCCACCTAAGTCCTACCGCGGTAATACCGATATACTATGGTCTGTTTTTCGAAAGATGATGCCTGGGAGGTAGGCCCGAGTTTTCGCGGTGTTGCCGCGATCGCGAGACACCTACGGCACTTGTATCTCTCTCACTCTTCGCGTCTTGGCCAATGACGTGCGACCGTCGACTTGAGTCCTCGCCTACGGTCGTCTATCTCCATCACACGTATTACAAACCTCTCAAGAAGGTCCTACCTATAATCTCAAGGAGTGGGGACTGCGTTCGGCACGCGCCCGTCAATCATCCATTGTCTGGAAGTAGTGGAGAATGTGACGTGACGCTGAACGTTTTCACACGGCAAAAGTTAAAATACATAAATAAGAAAAAGGTTATTTCTTTTGAAAGAATGTATTGCACCCAAATATTGAGCAACATATTAAAAGGGGATTAAATTAATACGTAGGTTATTAAACGCTACACGTGGAAATCGCAGGATAAAGAAGGAAGTTGGTTTACCGAGCGTTTAAGCGAGAGGCTCTCGTGCCGAAGTGCTGGAGGATGGAAAGAGACACACAGTAGCATTGAGACCGTCACAACGTCGCACGAAATATGTAGCTCGCGTTGGATCCCTGTCAGGCCACGCGCCGAGGCAGGCCAACCTCCCAGGCATCATCTTTTGAAAAACAGACCATAGGTATGTTACATTTACTACACTACACTTGTCTTCCAGGTTTCTCAAGGATTCATTCTGGCCTTATGGATGTGCACGTTCGGTAACCAGGTTCGCCTGAGTCTCAATCAGCTTATTTCTACATTTTTACATCCATTTTCTCTACGTTCCTTTAATTTTTTCATTATTCAACATTCCTTGCATCGTTTCCTGTTTTCCGTTTTCACTTCTTTAATTGCCTACTCGAGGTTGCATGTGAGCCTTAGCGGTCATTTATACTTGGCGACAGGAGTTTTACTTTCCTTCTTACTATTGTAGGAACGGATGAAAAGAGTATAAGAATAAGTAACAGGGCAACGTGTCAAAAACCTCAGATGACAATATTTGGAACGTCATCACCTGAGTTACCAGGATGTGTGTCGTGTGTGTGAGCGCGTGTGTGCGTTGTTTGGATCGACAGCTGATGAATAAATTGTAAAAGAACAAACGGTCGATGTCCCACGAATTAGATCAATAACCGCGATCTATCGTCACCTCGCGGTCAGCAACTATGTTGTATATGTGCCCTATTCCGAGTTCTGGAGGAACGAAAAGTGAGTTGAGTTAAGAGATCGAGGATATTTGATAAGAGCGTGCGTCGAGCAGGTCGTTAATTAGCAATAAACTCTTCTGGAATTAAATATTATTTTACATAAAATAATCTCGATAATTCCCTTTAACACTTTGACTGCCACATCACTCAAATATGGGTGACACGTACATTGCAAAGAGGCTGGATTATTTATATACCGTTACAAAATAATTGCCTAAATTAATATCGTAGTATAATTTAAAACAATACCAACAGCCTCTACTAACTAAATGCGTATATTTTCACGATTTGTGATTTAAGATGGTTCGTACCTTACTCTCTAGTCAATAAAGCATCATATTAATAATTGGTATTAAACAACCGCTAATACATTTTAATAATGTATCAAAATTACATCTATGTAATTCAACAACATTTCCATTAATAATTTA